GAAGAAACTGAGCAAGTCTCCCGTGGCACTACGGCCCCTTCAAACCCCCTGGCACACGCTTCACTTTCCGGCAGCGCCAAGACGCGCTCTGTGTGCGTACGAAGCGAGTCGTCGAAGCTCTCGAGTTAGTTTTGTCAAGTGCTGTTTTGTGCTCTTCAAAGACTCTCCGCGCACGAAAGGATGAGCTGCCAGCGACTCGTACACTTAATCCAATAATGAACGCCAACACAATAACGCTTTATTATGATGTTTAATTATACAGTTTTGGACTCGGGAACGCTTTGCAGTTTCGGTTCCGCGGGAGGCGGGAGCACCCCGCGTCCGGGAGCGCCTGTCTGAGCGCTCCGCTCGCAGCAGTGCTGGGAAACGGCCGGGCACGCGGGGGCCTGAGGGCTTAGACACGAGAGGCAGCTAGAGGTACGAATCGATCGGACCAAACGAGTCAATAGTGAGGCCTGGATATATCAGAACAGTAAGATTTGCAGACTTTACAACCCTCTGTTGTACCAAATGCCTCCCATTTGTGATTTGCAACCCTGTAATGCCCCAAAGAGCAGGAAGGGAGCTGATCCTTGATAGAGCTGATCTAGTTTCTCTACCAGACCCTTGTTACATGCTCGAGGATGGAGGAGCAAGGGAGGCCATCCGCTTGGCCTCTGAAACAGCTGTCATCATCCTGCAGCTGTGGCAGGACTGGTGACTGGAGAAATCTTTTCCTCCCTCTTCTTTCCCCCACGGTTAATGCTTTAATTGCAAATTTCCTCTTTCAGGTGGGAAGAGGAAGTGACTAGAAGGATGAGCCTGGAATCTTTGGTGGAAACCTTGCGGGAGGTAGGTTTGACCAGCATGTGGACCGTGTCTTTTGAGCCGGGGTGTTGGACGTCACGGATTTTCTGCTCTCACCTTTTAACATGCTGGTAGCCTTTGTAACAAAGCTTGTCATTTTGTGGCCCTTGCGGCAGCTGGATGCACTGCTGCGCGCTGGGGGACAGCGTTAACGCTCGCCAATCGGAGCGGGAAGGTGCTGAATTTCCTGACAAAGTGAAAGGGAGGGGGTGGTGACAGGCCCTATCAGCCGTTCTGAGCCAAGTGTCTGTCAGCCTGTCGCCTCTTAGCTCTCTCCCTGCTTTCTCTCGCAGGAGGCGCAGGAAGCGGAAGCGCTCCAGGAGGAGCTCAATGAAAAGATCGAGCGCCTGAAAGCCGAACTCGTCGTGTTTAAGGGTCTGATGAGTGATGTAAGTACACAGAGAGCAGAGAGGCCGGCTCCCGCCACCCCTGTGCGATGTATGCGTCATGCAGACGGCTTCATTCATGAGAAGGTTATGGTCTTAGTGAGCGCTGCTTGGTAGTTAGTTTTATGGCTGCCTTTCTGATCTAATGCATCAGACAGATCTCCCTTCCCCCTGCTTCCTGTGCGCTCTGTGCAGAGATGCATTAACTTGCTGCTTAGCCCATAACCTGGACTCTGCCCTCCCTCCCTGTTTGCCACAGCTGGCAGTGCTGGCCTTCACATCTGCAGCCATGGGAAAAGAAATATTGGAGACCCAGCACGTTAGGATAAAAGGCTTGGGCACCGTGCAGCCATTGGTACTTCTGATGGAGGGTTTGCTCTGAATTGCACAAGAAACTGATGTCAGAAAAAGAATTCGCAACTCTGAAAACTCTGAAGAATTGAACAAAGTGTCAGTAGTTCAGGCTCTGGCTTGGTTTCCAGGCCTGCTTCTGCCTTAAATAATAATAATAATAAAGAAAACAACAAACCCCTGTTTTCTTGGGAGTTCACTCATATCACATATCTCCTTTCCTTCAAAACTTGGGGATCTGTTACAATACGACAGGAGAACAGTCTTGTGCTTGAGCAAATCTGCTCAGGCAGATATATAGAAAAGGAAGCCAGGTGAGTGTTCAGGAAGGTGCCTTTCCCTGTAAGATGGAAGCACTGCTCCTGCCAGTTGTCTGATGAAGATCTTTTACTATGCTTATTTAGTCTGTGATTTTATTTTATTTAATCAGAGCTGTTTCCTTCTGTTTGATACCAGCTTGCAGAACGTGCACCCTGGTTTCCCATGCGGTCTCATGGGGCCGCTGGATCTGCTCGTGTAGAAACTGTCTCTTCCTTGGGTGTTTCAGAGCAGGCAGCTTGCTTGCTCGGAGGCAGCGTGCAAGGGAGAAACACGTCAGGGCTACAACCCTCATAGGTTTTTTTATTTCATTGAGGAAGAAATGTTATTTAGTGTGTACAAAAGGCGGGGTGGTGAATGCAAACGCCCTCCTCAACCTGAGAAAGTACTTTGGGTTTTGCAGACTCTGCAAGGTAGAAGGGCACCTACGGGAAGCAGTGATGATGCTTGTTCCTAATCCCACTGCCTAAATATTTAGGGTGGAGAAATGGCAAACGCTGGCACATGATTCCTTCCTCCCCGTTAATAATCGTTATTACCTAATCAGTCAATGAGATGGTGCTTCAGGGTTGGGATGAGTGTTTCAGTGGTTAGGAATGCCTTTTCCGCAGTGTCTGAAAGACAAAAATCCCCCAGACTTGTCCAAAGGTGCTTGACGTGAGCTGGAGAAGAACCCTGTCAAAAACTTAATAAAATAAAACAAACAAACAAAACCCCTTTTTCTTTCTTCATAAGAGGATTTGGTACTTAAAAGAATCCTCTGCTCTGCAGAGGGTTTTTCTGCTTTTTTTGTCAAAGTGGAAGCAGTGCCTAGTCATTGAGGTGGTGTTTCCTGAGGGAGCGTTTTTTTCTAGGCTGGAAAATATCCTTTTTACATGACAATGTTTATTTGTAAGGAGAACAGTACTGTCTGTGAGGGGGTAATATGTCTTATAATTAACGCTTATAATTGCTGCTCCGCGTGAAGCAGTACAAAGTATTTTTTGTGTAGTTCTTGTTTGTTTGATTGTTTTTTGCTAGGTTGGAAGGCAGTTTAATGTCAATACAAGTATTATTTTTTGTGCTATGGGCTTTCATGGACCTCTTTTGATTATACCTTGGTTTAACTTCCTTATGGCAACTACAAAGTAGTTACTGTGTACCCCGGATTCTGTTTTGAGAGCAGCTTCTCCTTGCAGGCACATCTTTTTCCTGCTTGGAATAGGGAAGCGATGAGTTTTCATCAGGTTTTTGGATTTAATTCTGTACTCGCTCAACAAGTTTGTTTGTTTGTTTTGTTCTGTTTTTCCTTAAATTTTAAAATTTTATTTTACTGACCTATAAAAGATCATTTTTATCAAATCCAGGAGTTTTTTGGGGGGTGAGTATAAGTTTTCCTGTGTCACATCATTCTCAGAATAGAAATTTCATTGGAGTCGGATGCAAGTGTTAATTCTCAACTGTCAAGTCTGCTTGTCAAGGCCGTCCATGTACTGCCTTTCCTGCAGAACAAGGTTTAATATTGGTTAAGAATGGTATAGCCTGGGGTTAGAGAGATACTGTGGGGTATCTCTTCTTTCCTGAACTGTATAATAATAGAAGATAATCACTACTGTCCTTCCTGCAGCCCATGACAGACCTGGACACAAAGATCCAAGAAAAGGCCATGAAGGTGGACATGGACATCTGTCGGCGAATCGATATCACAGCCAAGCTGTGCGATGTAGCGCAGCAGCGCAACTCGGAAGACGTTTCCAAGATATTCCAGGTGATTAGGCCGTGAATTTTCCCCAGGGTAGTACAAGTGTGAAGGGACAAGAGGGAGCAGCATTGAGGAAGGTGGTCCAGGTTGTTCACGACTTTCGGAGGTGTTTCTAAGTAGGTGTATTTGCTTCTTCAGTTCCCACGTGTAGCTCTGATCTGCAGGCGCTGCTGCAGCACTGAGATCTCAAAATTCAGAGAGAGTTTAAACTAAGCCTCAAGATGATCTTCGAGACGACTGATGCTAGTCTACAATGAGTGCAGGGGAAAAAAAATATATAAGGTTCTGTGTTTGTTTAAGTGGCTTCATCACATCTATTTTCTTCAGAGCCGAGAGGTTTTAAGCCTGTAGACCTGTCATCCAAAAGTTCTTATTTCTGGCTTGGGCTCCATGACCAGAAATAACGCTTCGGTGGTGGGGAACTGTGATTACTTTGTGAGACTACAATAAAGTCTCACAGTTGGCTTTCCTTTAGCTATTTTTGTTCCTTAGCGTTAGTTGGAGAAAGTCATATAATTTGCTCCAAAAGCAGCTCTATACAGAACAAACCTGTAACTCCTAATTCAGTGGCTGCTGTGTCCTGACTGCACTTTCAGTTGTGATTAACCCAGCTTCTTTCCACTTTGATCTGAATGTGTCTTGCTCAGTCTTTGAATAAGTCCGATTATTTTTTGTTTTTCTGTGTAACGGTGCCATGTAGGGTGTGTTGTGCTAAACACTGTACACAAAAGCACTGTAAATATGGTTGTGGTCTCTCTGCTGGTTGTGCTTTTTGGCTCTTGTGAAGTTACCTAAATGTTTCCTGGGTTTTATATCCAGAGATAGATCCAGATGTCATACTTGGAGAGACAATTATTTTTTCTTGCATGTTGAGCCACTGTGTTTTTCTAGCGGTTCTTTCTTCTCCTTGACTGGAATTGCTGTGTCTTTCTGCACAATGGTAACTGCAAAGCAAACTTTTGGTCAAGCATGCAGCGGTTAAAATGATTGTTGTGGAGTTTAATACCTATAAGGGATGGCTGACTTGCCAATTAATGAAAAACTAGAGTGGCTTTGGGAAGGGCTGTGTGTACGTGGCTCCATCTGTAAACCTCGGCGAATACTGTTACGTTTGCAACCCTCAGATGAAGGCACGAGCCTCTATGTTCTTTTCTGCAATATCACTTGAGTTCTCTCCACCCGTCTGTAAACCTGACTTCTTTGGGGCTGTCCAGGAACTCCCAAGGTTCAGTTTAACCCTTCTTCTCTCAAATAGAAGCCTAGCAGCCTATGCCTCTGGTTACGGGGTGGGAACGACCCTGCAGTGAAGACTGTCTAGAAAGGTTTCTTCTGTGCCCTTTGGTGGTGGCTGGACGGTGGAAGCATCGGGCTGGTGGTGCTGGCAGGAGGGGGAGAGTTCTGTCACCGCTCCCGAGCCTGCTGCCTGGGCACTCTCGCCAGCTTCTGCTTTTCCCTCTCTCATTCTAACCTCTGCATGTTCTCTGGGAGGTCACAGACTGTTGTCGATGACCGTACGAACACGCGGAGAGCGCTGGTAGCCTGCAGCTTGCTTTGCTCTTTGCCATTTTGAACGGCTTTCTCGTGCTCCCTGTTCACCACTCATTAACAGATGCAGTTCTGTCTTTAATACGTGCAATCATTGAACCACCTGGGAGCTGATGAGCAGTTACATGCACTGAGACTCCCCATCTTTCTTACCCTGCGCCTCAGCTGAACCTTCCAGTTATTGCCCTTCTCTCCAATTAAGGTGGCTTCCAAGAAGAAGGAGCGCAAGCTAACGTCTGACGACGACCTCTCCGAACAGGATGGGGAGAACAGCAGGTTCTCTGACGATGAGGTCAGCTGCTCTTTGAACATCACGGACGAAATGAAGCGTATGTTTAATCAGCTGTGAGTATCCTGGGCGACACGGGGGAAAACTTATTCTGAAATATAATTCCAGAACTCAAGCACTGAGATATTTCTATGGGCTTCCAATCTGGGTGTCTTTTTTCCTTCCACTCTGAGTTGAATCTGAACTGCCAGCCTTGTGCTTTTTCAGAGGTTTGCAGGAAATTCAAACAAGATTAACAAAACTTTTTTCCTTAAACTTAATTTATTTCTCCATTAAACAAGGAGGTGACTATAGAGAATGTAAGAGTATAGTCGGACACTTCTTTACATGTATATCCTTCCCCTTGTTACAGCTTGTACCAGTAGCAAGAGAAAGAAGCACGGGAAAAGTATGAAGCATTTGTCCGAGTGTTTGGCTTAATATGAGATCTCTAGAACTTCACAGCTGATTTGGGTGGATAGAAATTGAGAACATCGTCACTAAAAGCTCAGTTCAAAACGAAAACCAACTCCTATACTATTTCACCTGATTTCTTGGTTGAGTTGTATGAAAATAGTAGTGGTGGACGTGTCCAGAAGAACGATCACTTTAGCAGTAGACAACAATCTATAGATTCCGAGAGTATCAGTGCTGCAATTCCCAGATTGGAAGAATCCTGTTTGATTTTTCCTAAAATTTAAACCAAAATGAAGGCAACTCTGTGCCTTGGCGCTACTCAGAGCAGTTCAGGAAGCTGGTGGGCACATGGGAAAGCGGGACATTGTTTATTGCATCCAAGTAAATGAGATATTCTCTAAGGATCGCGAGCTCCCCTTCTGTTGTCAGCTGTTGCCAAAAGCTATTTTGAGGGTACGTGTGTCTTCCTTTCCTCCTCAGTTTCCTGTGTGGAGGAAGGCACTCTTTGCCCAAACGCCTCTTATTAGGACTCTGGTTTTAGGTGTTTTTAAGCACTTACTAATATTTCTTCCTCGGGCCAATTTCTCTTTTTCACAAGTCAGGCATCTGGATTTCAGTGTAGTAAATGTAGATTTTCCATCTCTTCCCTCCAATTCCAGATGACAACGAATAGTGGGTTCAATTTAGACAGGAAATCAAGAGGCTCCAGCTCAGTCCCTGGGTTAGTAACACACGTAGGTTTTAGTGTCGTTGTTAAACCTGGCCTCTGCTATTCAGGTTTTATTGATTTTATTGGTGAAATGTTTACGTCCCTGCCCTATCCTAGTTGGCCAATAATTATAGACCACATGAATATTTTACAACATCCCTAAACTTGCAATTTTTACTTGTGCTACAGATACACAGTTGCAATACCAGATGTCTTTTCAATGAGATAGGAGAGGCAACTTACCTTAAGTTGCCAATAAAATAACTCTGTTACTAAGACACGGACACTTTCATGTACTTCTTGATTGCAGCAAGAGGAAAAAAAAGTCTTGCAATGCCTCAGGAATCATCAGTGGATGTTCATGGCTTGCTGTAGATGGTACCTTCTGACGCAGGCTTGGGGACTTTGCATAGAAGGGAGGAATGTTCAGGCACTACTTGCCTCTAGCAGAAAATCAAAACAACTTTCTTGTTACCCAATGAAGAACTAAGAGTTTAGCAAAACTCGGTCAGAATGCAATCATTTTGGAACAATTTGCATGACCGAAGTAAACTGTCATTGAAACTGGGAGACCTTGTGCTCTCTGAGAGAGATAACTCTTGCAAAAAGAGGCTGATTTGAACAACTTGTGTTGCACAAGGTTGAATCACTCATGTCCAAGCATATTTGGGGGGTTTATTTGTTTGTTTCTGGTCAGATTGAGTGAAGTCACAGACTGCTGCTTTTGGGAAGCTCTTTAGTCTCCAAAAGACAGAGCTGTGCTCAGCTTCTGGCTTCAGATGTTATCTGCTCCAGCGGAAGTGAACTAAGGAAACAAAAATGCCTCGCTCTGGAATGCGCAGGCTGCTGTGTGAATGTTTGGAGGTTGCTGTGGGACCTCCTTAACGAGGACAAGAAGCGGCTACTGGGGCTTGGCTCCGCTTCTGCTGGAACCACAAGCGGATCCAGCGTCTCCAGAAACTTTCCTTAGTTGCACAACCCGCCTAACCTCCTAACGGTGCTACAGGCTGCTGCTGTCTGTGTTTGTTCTTAGCCTTAAGTGGCTTTACTAGTACCTTGTTGTTCAATTCAGCGATAAATATTTATGTTCTTTTGTGCATTGTTTTGGGGTTTTTTTGCATAGCTGCCTTGGAGGGAACTTTTATAAGTGCCGCGGGGACAACGTTGGCCACGTTTCAGCATGAAAACCAGCAGGGAGTCTTCCAGTGGCCGTTTCTTGTACAACTTCTCAAACTGCCTTTTGGTTCCTTTTCCCACACATAAAAAAAAGCATATTTTAAGTGACTTAGTTCTTTGTGTGTGGTTTTGCAAGGAGGGGAGCCTAACTTGCAGCACCATCTGGAGGAGGAAGCTGGGAGTGTGTCCATGGCCTGGGAATGTTCCCAAGGTCCCTTTATTGTGCAGGGCGGTGGCAGAGAGCCCAGGGGCTTTTAGGCAGCGGCACAGCCTGTCTTTAAAAACTTCCAAGGTTTTCCACAGTCCTGTTGTCTCCTTCGCTCGGTTCTCATAGCCTCTTGCTGTAGAAGATCATTGAAGCCTGGGGAGTTGTTTTTCCTAATTTTTTTCCCCCACTGTCATCTCAACAGACGTGAGACCTTTGATTTTGATGATGACTGCGATAGTTTAACATGGGAGGAGAACGAGGAAACACTGCTTCTCTGGGAAGACTTCACAAATTGCAATCCGTCCATCGACCTCCAGGGAGAGGTGAGTTTTCTTAGGCTCTTCTCCATAGGAGTGAATCCTCCAGCTGCTCTTTTAGCCGTTTCAGCCTTCGGGTATTTGGCTGGTGGTCTAGACTGCCAGGCAAACTTGCTTTGATTTCCAATCCTCTTAGTGCTTCCTCTCTATGGTTGCTTTGCAGTCTGTCCAATCAGTTTATTTGCTAAACTTCATTTCTTCTGCTGCCCTCTCAAAACGAGTTTTAAAATAACAAGCGACTGTCAAGGGATCCGGTATGTAGGAACTGTTGCAGAAGCAATCTGTCACCCCCACCATGTACATAGAGCCCTGTATCCTTTGCACAACATCTCGCTTTCCCTGTGGATTGTCATTCGCACCTTTACTGGTGCAGAAATGATGCACATAGGGCAGCACCATCCCACATGTTTTTTTTTTTAGTGGGGAGAAAAATAAATTCAGTCTCGTCCCTGAGTGATATTAAAATACAGCCTGTCAGAAACAAAGAAGCTGTTACTGCAGAAAAACTCAGGGACCTTCTGCACCCATGAATCCTGTGCTTCCATCTTCCCTGCCAGTAGGCATGTCTTGGCTTTGGTGGATAATAAACAGCCTCCTTTTAATCCCTAGGATCCCATGCGAAGTAAACTAAGGGCCACATGCAGTGACTCCCGAGCCTTTTTAAACAGTCCTAAAGAGAAATTTGAATGGCAAGATCTGGCTTTGTGCGGGCAATTTTAAACGTGATGTTATTATTTGATCACTGAGTAGCCTGACAGCAGCAGGTGAGAAATAATCCTGCCTCCTTCCACCGTGGCTGCAGCGCAAGGACGCGGAGGCAGCGAGCCCTGCGTGGGTGCACGTCGTGCCGTTGTTTATCGGCTGCCGCGGAGCGAAACTGCCGAGATTATTCGGAAGTGCCGGGAGAGCAGAGCGGTGCCTGAGCCGGGCGGAGGGATAACACGGAGCTCCGCGCCGGAATTAGTGACACATCCATTTGCATATACCCCTGTGTGCATGTATAAGCACCGCTATCAGAGGAATATTGCAGAATTCAGCCCTTCCCTGCAAAAACTCTAAAGGTTTTAAGAAGCTTAAATCCTTCTAAATGAAAATTATACAAGGAAAGGGTAGATTTGTCTTGTAGATGGAGATTCAGAATAAAGACTGCTCAGTCTGTGCCTGGTTTTTAACACAGTGCTTTACATGCTTGAGTCTTCTACTAGCTTTATTCCTTTCAAGTTCTTATTGCAAGTGCCCTAGCCACCTTCTTTTATGACCTTCTTCCTTAAAGCTCTTCTGCATATAAAAGGATAAGCGGAATGATTCTTGTTACCATAGGCTGGTTAGCCTGACGTTGATCCCAGGTAGGATCCTGATAAAGCTGCTACAGATGTGTCCAGAGGCTGGTGACATAATTAATGCTTGGCAGGGTGGTGGCATCAAACTGACGATAACATTTTTTTTTTCTGAAAAGAGTGAGGTAGGTAATAACATGAAAGGAAGAATTGTGACATTGTTAAACTAGAAAGCAGTTGATTCAGTCCGACTGTGTGAAACACTGCTGTATGCCTGACTTTTGTAGCACAGACTGCAAATTATATGCTTTGGATACAAAGGAACAACAGGAAATAATATTGCTAGAAAATAATACTGAAAGCTTGTGTTGTTGTGGGAAAAACGGCACAATCCCTGGGGAAAAAAGAAAAAAAAAAAAGATCATTTGTGTGATGCATGGGCCCTTTTGTGATTTCTCCCTAATTAGTCTGTATCCTTCTTTCTCTTGCAGGAGGAGAATCTGGGAAACTTGATCCACGAAACAGAGTCTTTCTTTAAAACAAGAGACAAAGAATACCAAGAAACAATAGGACAAATAGAGGTAAGGAAATGATTTGTGAGAAAATGCATATTGTTTTACATGGAAGAAAATCCTGTGAGGTTATTCAGGTTCACACGCGCACACAGTGGAGTGTGTGCATATATATGTAAAAAGGCAAAAGCGGTTTCCTCTTTCTTACCCTTGGGATTTTTTCTAAATACAACTCTTTCCATAGCACTATTAGTGAGTAAGCATAAATCTGTAACCTTCAGGACAAGGAACAAAAAATGCTCTAATCCTTTTTCCCCACTGACTTACCTATCCGGCATCTCACTGGAAAACACTTTTTAAGAAATGCCCAATGAGATTGCTAGAATAAACAGCTTTATTCTTCCTAGATTTTTCTTTCTTTGATTATTGAGCATCAATAAAAAAGATACCAGGTGGCAAACAGGTCAAGAGGTGTCTAAAAACAGTGTTGAGCTCCAAAAAGCCCTTCACTGCAGACTGCAGTGGGGTATTGGGGGGTTGCAGGTGTTTCTGGATTGGTTTCTGGGCAGTTTTAGCCTCTCCAGTTGTGAATCAGACCAGGAGAAGCACCAAGGAGCATTCTGAGGTTCCTCCCTCTCTCTTCTTTTGCACAGCTGGAACTGGCTACGGCAAAGAGTGACATGAATCGCCACCTTCACGAATACATGGAAATGTGCAGCATGAAACGGGGCCTGGATGTGCAAATGGAGACCTGCCGTAGACTTATCAAAGGCTCTGCGGACAGGTAGGATGCAGCTACTGTGCTTGCTCGTGTCGACATTGTCATTTTACAGAATCATTTTGCCTAAAGGTTTGCTATTTGGGTGATCTGGTCTTGCTCAGGGACAAGTGACAGTCTTAAAAGAAACTTTGTTCAACCAAGAGAGCCTTTTCTTTAAGGACTTCTTCTTTACTTCTTTGTTACTGGCATTTAGTTTTTCTGTCTCAGCCTCTCTCTGAATCTTCTCTACAGGAATTCCCCGTCTCCCAGCTCTGTAGCCAGCAGCGACTCAGGAAACACAGATGAAATTCAGGACGAGTTGGACAGAGAGGCGGATGTGGAACCCATGGTCAGCTGATACGGGGTAGACGCGTTCCAGCAAAAGGGAATAACGAAGAAAAGCTTAAAAAGTGACACATGGATGGAGGAAAAAAAGAAAAGAAAAAAAAAAACTTTTAAGCCCATGCACAGGGTTTCTGAGGACTCATTCCTACACGCATCCCCACCCCACCCAAGGATTGGTGCTGTAAATTTCTACTGTTATACAAATCATAACTGCAGAGTCCTGTAAGAAAACACGGTGTTTTAATTGTGCCTTTGCCCCAAGCTGAGCCACTTTGAGCTCCAGTGGAATATTATTAGCAGGTGTTTTTATATTAAAAAAAAATACTATAAAAAAAATCTGGCAGCAGCAGAGATTGGTGCTGCAAAGACTCTGGGTATTTCAATAAGCTTATGGTTTTATTGAATTGCTGCACTGATTGGCAAAAGGAGCACTGGCAGATTGAGAAGTGAATCCAGGACAATTCAGGTACAATTAAAAATGTCTGGCATTAAAATAAAGAAAAAGAGAATGCCTCCAAATTGAACCGTAAACACTTTAAAAAAAATAATAGTGGGTTTAGAGAGAGCTTTTAGGATTAAGCAGTTACAGAGTATTTAAAGGAATTTCTTCATTCCACCTTTCCGGGTGAAGGAGCTTTGGAGCCCTGCCCGAGCTCTCTGCTAAACTCGAGGACCCGACGCAGGTCTCAGCTCGGTGGCAAAGCGGGTGGCAGGAGGAGGGTTCGGCGGGGTGGGAGTATCTCTGAAAAACTACTATGCAAAACAAACAAAAAAGCTCGCCTTATTTATATGGAATGTTCGGTCCTTGCTGGGCTGCCGTTATCTCTTGGGGAAGGGAAGCTAAACCCACGTTTGCACATTTGTTCGTTACCTGCAGAGCTTCCTTGGAGGAGGAAGGGCTTGTTGCAACACCTTTGTTCCCAGCGACTGGATTAGGAAAGGAATCAGCCCTTCAGTTCCCCGCTGTCTTTCCTTATTTTTACTGTAGCGTTTGCTGATTTTACTTTGCTGACTGGGAGATAACTATGTTTGTTTGTTTGTTTTTTTCCCTGCTTTTAGGATGTCTAGATGGGATAGTGAGAGAATCAGGATAAACTGACATGCTGCAGGCTCAAGACAAGACGCAGGGAGAGGGCCAGGCCACTGCTATTCCATGAAGCTGAGCGTTGGAAAATACTGTAGTCCTTTCGAGGGCATAGGAAAACCAATCCCAAGCTGCTGCTGTTAAGAGTCAGGGAAGACGAATCCAGTGCTTTCTCTGTGAGAAGACCTAGGCATTATTTGCCAGTTTGGATACGTGGGAAAGCAGCATTGAAAGTCTGATTTCTTGGTAAGGAAGGAAGCTCTGGCATGATGGTTATTCAGGGGAGTTGTAGCACCTCAACCAGGTAAAAACAGGGTGTAAACCTAAGCCAATACACTTTATTTTAGGCAAGATTCAAAGTACGGTTAATACTGCCTAGAAGTTACTGTACAGCTAACTAGCACTTGCAAGATGTGAGTTGAAATACCAAATGTACCTTTTTCCTGCCAGAACACTTGGCAGCTGTCCCGGAGGAGCAGTGCTAAGGCTGGACAGGGCAACACCAGGGCAAGGCGCCTTCCCGGGGGTCAGTGAAGACGGCCAAGCTTTTAGCCTTCAGGTATTTGTTTGCAATCCTCTCCTATTGATCGGAAATCCATGGGATTGCTTTGCAAGCAAGCAGCCAGCCGCAGCGTTTCAGCAGACGCTGCATTTCTAGGTGCAATTCCTGCCAGAGGGTTTCTGCAGGCACAGAAAAGGTTTTGTTCGTTCCCTCATGGAGTTTCCATCTCTGCTTAGATCCATCCTCTGCTTGGACACAACGCTCGGCGCTTTTAGGCCGTGCTGATCAGGTGGGCTCCATTTGCTTGTTCGGAGCGAACCGCAATGATCCAGCCGGATCCATGGGGATCCACCAGTGATTTCCGTCCATATAAATATCCCAGGGGTATTCCTGGGGTTTCCTTGATGTTTGAAATAGCATAGGTATTTGTAGAGTAGCTAGTGATCCCTGGGTTCTTGTATTGTTAGTGGGTTAGTGGCTTTCTCAAAGCCTGTTTCATTGCATAGACATATATAATGTTTCTCTGAAAAAGAAACCTTATTCCAAAGTGCTCATTCCTATCATTTTTCTTATGGCCAAAGTGGTAAGCGTTGCATTCATTAAGGCTGCAAGTTTGGGGTGGGTGGGCAATGGGTGAGAAATAGGTGTTGAGATATTATCTTTTTCTCTGAGGGGACTGGAAAAAAAAAAAGCTTTTTTTTTTTCCTTCAATTTCTCCTAAGGTCCTCAAGCAGGTCTGAACTTCAGCTGCTAAACATGTGGTTTCTCCCAAGGCTGAGAAACCTTCTGCCAAAGCAGAGCATCTGTAAACGCTTCAGGGGCTTTTGGTGGAGGTTACGGATGAGCCTTCCTGAAACCAGGAGCTGCTACGGTGGGATAGGGAAGGAAAACCTCGGTCTGACAGCGCGAGCCAAAGGAGGAAGCGGCCGCTCAGCCGCGACCTGCGCTCGTCTCGTAGCCATAATTACGAGGAGCATCTGTAAGAGGGTCGTTCGTACGTATAGGGGGTGTAGGACTGTAGTCAGGAGTATAGAAATCAGGTGTATGAGGGCGACGTGTACGATAGTAGGTTTACCATGGTTGTTGGTGTCTCTATTTGTTATATCCATATGTAATCCACTTAAAGAGAAAAGCTTTTATACCTGGGATGGGGGGCTGTTATTTTCATGTAGGCTGTACAGGACTTCACAGCTGGTGGTCAATGAGGAGGATCGATCCTCAGGAGTTTCCTAGCAAGTTTCCAGTTAGTTGAGTTTCCAGTGATGCTGCTGATGGATCCGACAGCGATCCAGGTCTGTTTGTGTTCAGCTGTTCTGTAGCAACCAGATCAAAAGCTTGCCAGAAAAAAAAAATTGTGAAAAATGCTGGAAATTATTTTGATGACCTCTTTGATTTCTTTTTGTTTTTCCTTTGTAAAGCTGTAAATACTTTATTTTCGTTTTCTATTCTTAATGTGGTGTCACATTGACACTTTTTTAGACTTCAAATCAGAAAAATCCCTCTTCATTGTTTCTCATTTTTTAAAAGGGGGATTTCAAGGAAGCAAATTTTTTTGCTTGTTAGCAGTGTAATAATAGATCAAATTACTAAAATGGATTTGTACAAAAATGTTTTCAGTACACAAATGGCAATCGCTTTTGTGGATGCATGTTGTTCAAAACCGTCCAAAGAACCACATGATACAAACTTTTTTTTTTTCAAGGATTTAGTAATTATCACATTAGTTCAGACAGAAAAAAATCAAAATTGTTTTAAAAAGTTTGCGAGGGGGGGTGGGATGTAATGGAATTGAACTAAGCTAAATGTGTAATGTATTTATAAATACCACAGTATATATTCTATTTTTATTAGAGGTTTTTAAAGAGCAAATGGATTTCTGTTAGCAAATAGTTATTCCCTTGGAAAAACAGCTTCTGCTTTGAGGAGACTCCAGATTCATGAGCGGTTTTGAGCGACAGCACAAAAACAGCCGGCCAGGAGAAGCGATAACGAACATTAAATCACCGCTTAACTCTGCGACAC